ATAAGACCTGTCTTTATGTATGCATGTACAATCTGGGGTACTGCTGCAAAAACTCATGTGAAAAAAACTTCAATCTTTTCAAAGTAAAACCTTACGTATGGCCCTAATGCAGCCTGGTACGTCCGTACAGATGTGATTCATTCGGACCTTAAATATTAAACCTGTTGATTACCTATATTAAAAAACTTAGTCAAAATTTATTCCTCAAAATTGAACAGATTGATAACCGAGCACTTCAGCAGATGCCAGCATACGATCCTGCTATTCGCAGCTCACAGAAGAGACCGAGAGCCGTGATTGGCCGAGAGTTCGGCATCTACCCTCCATCCAAAAGGGCAAGACACGCCCTCTCAACATCAGTTCCAGCTCCCGCGCCATGAAGGAAGGACGTCTCTTCAGCGAGCTGCCATATAATTGCTTATTCATCCTTCTCAACTGCATCCAAGATCTTCAAGCAAAGTTATCAATCTGTTTACTTAAGAATCACATCTCCCGCAGATTTTTAAAATCTGCCTATGAATATTTTCATCGCGTTCTCATTTATTATTTGCACTCTCCTACACAAGCCACATGCCAATGAGCCTATTAATCGTAAACTCTTTCCTATCCGCTTTTTGCTTTAGTGTTTGTATTGTGTATAAAAAATTATAAAAACCAAAAAAAAAAAAGTATAAAATATAAAATACAAAAAAATTATAAAAACCTAAAAACTTATAAAAAAATTATGATACTTAAGTTTTTATTTTCTCATCTCTATCCCTAAACTTTCTCGAGCCTGTGGCTCCCTCTATTGAGCATCAAGTAAATCACTTATGCCAAATTTTTCCTATTTCTGCTCGCTTTTAGTAATTCTGATGTGGAGGTAATGGTTTTGACCAGGACTCGAAATCATTGGCTAACTTCATTCCTGCTTCGGTGGTGAAAATCCCTTCAAGGTCATCCCGGTGAAAGGCCTGGTTCGTTGAGGTCAATAAGTTTTCCAGAGGTCCTTGAGTACTGCGGGGCTCCTGTTCTTCAATAAAGGCGGCAATTAAAAATACTGAGCGGCGATTTCTTGTGCAAACGGAGTTTAGGCCGGTTTTAAGTGTTTTCAAGAACTTCATTTAAATTTTTCAGGTGTTTTTTTGACCATTGATTATGGACTTATTAAATGTGTAGCCAGCTTCAATTTTAGGCCGCATAATTACTGTTTAGGGACTTTTGTTTGTATAGAATGCCAGTGTTTTGGAGACCAGGTAAAAATATTGATGAATGATGGTTTATATTATTTTTTCCTAAGACTCTAATATTGTTGACATTTATTTTCTGTGTTTTTTATTCTTTATTATATTGTTAATAAATTGGTTAAGTTCAAAATCTTTTATTGTCTTCAGTGTCTGCACAACATATCTCAGGGAGCTTTTATTGCTACTACTGCTAAATGTTTAATTTCTTTAAACCTTAAACTTTGTTTTAGCATCAGGATTAATGAATTTAAGAACAACTGAACCTTCTTTCTTTAAAAATTATGAAACAAGGCCAATTTAATCTGCAAATTCTAAAGTGTTAAGATCAGGGGAATCACCATCTGTTAAAGATGCTTTCCAGATCTTTACAGTGTGCCAGTAATTCATTTTATAAGATTGTTGACATCATACAGAGGCTGTTTGCACATTTTATAGACGATTTTGGTAAGCGGTAATAAAAAATCATTTTTAAAAAGAAGTAATTCTGCAAAAGAAGTAATTGCAATTGTACTATGTTTTTAAAAGTTAAAATTATCGTCTGTGGCTTGAGAGTTTTGTTTTTATTCAAAATGGAGAATTTTAACAAAGCAGTGGTTCAAAAGCTACATTTACGGTCTTTCCGAAGAGAAATATGCATACTCCGTTATCCAAACACTATGTGAGAGTCATGGTTTTGTGATATCTAAAGTGTGGTTAGGGTAATATCATCAACAAGAAAGGAAAAAACGTCAAATTGCAAAGGTACGTTGTTTAATGTTAAAAGAAAATCCCCCTAGTCAAAGGACAGTTGCAAAATCATTAAAATGCTCGGTGTCCACTGTAAACAAAATCATAAACATTGATTTAAACCTTAAGAAAGCGAAAAAACGCAATGTGCATCGTCTTCTTCCAAAGCATATCGTTCAACGCAGGACATGCTGCAGAATTCTATATGAGAAACACTTATCCAAAGAAAAAGGGAAAGTAATTGTCACAATAGATGACGCATGGGTGTACTTAAATGATTGTAACAAAAAAAGAGCCATTTATTATCATAAAAGGGGAGAAAAAAATTTAAGTACATGGTTCAAAGAATTGAAAGAAACTTTTTCTAAGGGATTTATGATTGTTGCTGGTTTTTCTTATAATGGAAAGTTAAAAATAAAAAGATTGCAAAAAAAAAATGTCAAGATTAACTCTAAATACTATCAGGAACATATTTTATTGCCAATTTTTCTGAATGAAATACCATCGCTTAACCCACAGTGCCATCAATCTGTGAGGCTCCATCAGGACAAAGCTAGCAGTCACACATCAAAATCCACTGTAAATTTCCTAAAAGAAATGGAACAAAAAACTGGTATCAAGGCCATATCCTTCACTGATATCCTTACTAAATCTCCTGATGTGTCACCTATGGATTTTTGTGCTTTCGGACTTTTAAAAACTTGTGCTTTCGGACTTTGCATTTATCCAAGCGTTGTCCCCAAACCCTAACAGGACTCTGGAAAGCTGTTCGGGAGGAATGGGATAGAATATCTCTTCTGCCACTTCAAAAGGCATTATTATCCTGGAAATTGCGGTCTCGAAAGATAGTTCAGAATAAGGGATGTCAAATAGAACATTTAAAACACAAGAAATTTTATGTAATTTAGTTTTGTGAATACAATATACATCGTCTAAGAAATGTGTGAACAGCCTCTGTATAAGAACTCCAAAGAGTTATGATTATTCAATTTGTTAAATCTCAGTTCTAGTGCACTGATTGCCTTTTGTATAGTAAAGAAAAAAATTCTGTTTTATAATTTTCTTTTAAAACTTGTATAGGCTCATCTACATTTTTATCTAAAAAAATTTTGTTTAGTTTTTTCCTATGTCTATTTCATTAAAGGATTCATTCAATCTTAATTCTTTAAAAAAAAGTTAATGAGCTATTATTTAATGAATCAGTGGCTTGAGATAAAACAAAATATTTTTATTAGCTTACTTATCTGATTAATGTGATATAAAATTTTATACTAAATAACGATCGAACATAAAAACTTAAAATGTTTTATTGTGATTAATAAACTACTGGCCTTATCTCGAATCATGTTTATCTCTACATTTTCATAAATATTTGATAAAGCATTCTGAATATATTCTCTTTCAAAACTTTACTGTTGTAGGGTTTTACTTTGTTTTTCAAATAGTTTTTCTTTTTTTAAATTGGAACAAGTTTTTCCTATACATTTTGATTTGATTTTCTATATACATTTCCATGCCTGAATGAGTTTTCATTATTATGATTTATACAAATAAGGTAGAAACGAAGTATTTAAGCTGAGGTCTCAGTTACTTCAATAGAAAAGTGTGTTCTGCCTTTCAGCCATGCTGTTGCTATTAGTTAAAGCTTGCTATTCTACTGCCATACTTAATACATGCCTGCTATCATACGCCGGTAATCTTAATTAAGGGCCAATTCTGCGAGTGTGATTCTGTGCAGCTCCAGCTGATTAAATTTTCCTAGCATTAGTTTAGTGTTGTATTTTCTATTTTTAGTTAAAGCCCAAACTTCTATGGAAGGGAGTGGGGAGGCTTCTTGTACAAAAATGTTTATTAATATTGCATTCAAATCCTCCTCCTAATTGATCAGTCGAAACATATCTTGCTGAAAATATCATTTCTTTAACCTTACTCACATCAGGAGTACAATTAAAAGTAACCGAATAGCATTTTTTTTTTTTTTTGAACTTGTTTTATAATATAAGACTTTATCTTATTTAATTGTTCAAAATTTCATTCTGGTATGTTGTTCCTAAGTATGTTGTTTTATTTAGTTTTTCTAAGTATGTTTCTGTCCTTTCTTCATTATTGAGGATTTTTCGAATATATTTTTCTATTATTGGGTCAAAAGCAATTGAATTAACTTTAAGAATTTTCTGTTATTATGCTCATAAATCTTGTTGCTGGTACCCAGAAAAGCTACAGAGCTTTCACCAAGCAATTCAATAACTCCCATTCTGTTACTTCAGGTCAATATTTAATTTTGGAAAAAATTCATCTTTGTGCAGCTGCATCTATGGTCTGACAAGTTTCCAAACTTTGTTTCAGCTCTATGCATTATTTCAAAGTATTTACATGAATTTCTAAATTTTCATATCTCGCCAATATTTTTCCAGTTTCTGTAACCCTCATTTAAAAACGAACTCAGTTTTGACTTACCAAAACATTTGTAACAAAAACAGAATCTTTTGATACTGAATATACCAGTCACTCTCTTGATACATGTTCTACATTTTTTTAAATTCTGTTATGGTACTTTGCACTAAATCTTTGAGTTTCTCTTGATGAATCTTTGATCTTTGTCATGTAATTCTGTGAAATAAAAAAATAAAGAAAATTTTTTCGAAGATTTTTAACTTTGCAACAAAAATTAATTTAAGGAAGTAAGTTATGTTTAATAAACAGAATACTAGATTTTTTTCCATTTACTAAGTTGTGGTCAAAATCGTGCAAATCTGATATATATAATATATTAACTAAGTCGCACATCATGGTTAGAGGTCAAACAAAAAACATGCAGTGCAAGTGTTAAGCTATGAAAACGTCATACATTGAATGTGTCTTTGTTTTGGATCTGATAAAAATTTGCATAAATTATTGTTGCATTCTTTTATTTATTTTGATAAGTGTTTTTTTAATTTTTTTTATTTTATTGCTACATTTATTTTAACAATTGTATATACCTGATGAGTTTTGCTGTGCACATCTGAGCATGTTATATAAGCAAATAATACATTTTTTAAATTACAGCATTTTCTTATGGTCTGCTTTGTATTGGATTAACTGTTATTGTTGAGAAGTTAGGAGGTGTTTTGCAAGCATCATTGACTATATTTAATGTCGTTGGTGGACCTATGCTCGGTTTATTTTCTTTAGGAATGCTCTGTAACAGAGCCAATGCAAAAGTAAGCCTATTCTTATATCATTTAAATGTAATTAAAAGTGTATTTATGGTAAATAACATAGCTGCCAACCCTCCCGGTTTTACTACAAGACTCCTTGATTTTCACCTCATCTTTTAGTCTCCTGATAGATTACCAAATTTCCTGGCTTTTAATTGTTTTCCTTTATTAAGCAAAATAGTTCTGGAATTTATTGGATTAATAATACAGTGCAAAGTCTTTAATCTGGATGCCCATAATCCGGAATGATTTATAATCCGGACTTCAAAGCTACAAACTTTATGCGCATGCGTAAACGCATTAATGCGTTTACACATGCTCATAATACATTTAATCATGTGCATAAAGAGATACTGTTTATAGAGAGAGAGAGACTGTTTATAGAAAAGAGAATTAAAGAGGAAGTATTAACAAAAAAAAATGAAGCAACTTAAACAACTTAGAAAGAAATGTTTAATAAAGTAAACAAATAAATATTAAGCTTTTTTTTTTGTAAATTTTGATACGCTTTAGATCATAATTGCTCTTTATTTCATAAATGACGGTTTCATATTTTTAATTGTATAATTTCTGCATGTCATCTTACCAGATTTAAATTGATGATGTATAATCTGGAAAAACCCCTAATCCGGAATCGCCAGTCGTGACGAGTCCGCATTGCGGACTTTGTACTGTACTACTTAAATTAAGCGAATGCCATACCTCTAATGATTTTAAGAATAATTTTTCTAGTTAAATTTTTATTTCATCTGAACTGTATTTTTTTAATTACACGTTATTCATTTTATTAAATTTTTCTTATTTAATTTCATTTGATCAGATTTGTCTTAATCTACTGTAGATAATACAGTACAAAGTCCGTAATCCGGACCTGTATGTTGAAATCGTATTTTTAACAAGCAGAAAATGCAGTCAAAAGTCTTTAATTTGGACTCGTCGGGACTTCGGCAATTCCGGATTATAGATCATCAGTTTAAATCTGGTAAGATGGCATGCAGAAATTATACAATTAAAAATATGAAACTGTAGTTTATGAAATAAAGAGCAATTATTATCTAAAAGGTATCAAAATTTACAAAAAAAAAAAAAAAAAAAAAAAAAACTTAATTTTATTTGTTACTTTATTAAACATTTCTTTCAATGTAAGTTGTTTAAGTTGCTTCGTTTTTTGTGCTAATACTTTCTCTTTAATTCTCTCTTCTATAAGCAGACATAATTTCTTGTTCAGTTAGAAAGTTCGACTGTTCAAATCCTGTAATTGCTGTGTTGAGAATACAGACTAACTTTAACTTGTCAATTGAAATTTTTTCGTTTTCAATAACCTCTCTGTCACTTTCTTCACTATTGGAAGCACGCATGTGTAAATGTTTTACTGGCTTTGCGCGCATGCGTAGTGGACACACACATCAAACGTGCATGCGTAAGTTTGTGGCTTTGAGGTCCGGATTATAGATCATTCCAGATAATGGACGTCCGGATTATGGACTTTGTACTTGTAGTAGATTTTTATGTGAAGATTTAAGCAGTGTTTACTCAGTTAACATTTATATTTAATTTTGTTTACTCAATAAACGGTATATTGCTAAGCTTATGCACATGAATACTATGTACATTAATTATTAATTTTATTTTCATTGTAGTTAAAAGTACTTTGACAAATAAGAGTTTTCCTTTCTGACTTAGGATTTTCTTGAAAAGTATAAGAAAATTACAAAGTGAACTTAGCCAAAGAACGTAAAATTTAGAATATCCAATTAAATGCTAATATATTTCACATCTGAATTGAATTACAACTAGTTCAGTAACTTGAACATTTTGAAGTGAGTTTGGAGTTCTTTTGAAATAGAATGTGTTGCTGTGCAGTTTCTTCCAAAAATCTCCCTTCCAGTTTCTTTCCAAAATCTCCCTGTTTTTAAGATTTCAAGGTTGGCAGCTATGTCTTTAATGTTAGAAAATGATTGATATAAAGTTTTTAAGTATGTCATATGATTTTAAATATTGGATACTGGGGAAAAGACTTTAAAATTTTATGCTTCACAAAATTCATTGCATTGTGATAAATAATTAGCAGTGTTATAATGAAAATACTTTTTTTTTAAGTATGATTTTTGTAAGAAGTGTGGAATATATTTGAAGTGTATTTCTAAAAATTGACATACAGACGTTTCATTGTAGGTTATTCATTTTCTATCAGCTATTCCATGTTATATTAAAAGTTGTTGTTATTTTCCTTTTTATTTCTGATTATATTTTTAATGCAATATGTATGTATTTTTAAACTTAAATTATAGATATTTTCTGAGTAAAGAGTGCTGTTATGTTGTTTGACTTTTTTTTTTTTTTTTTAATTCTTTGATATTAACTACATTTCTGCCCATAAAAAATGCTGTGGTATAGTGGCTAAAAGTGTCATCTTTTGAATTCACTGTATTTGTGTGAAAAACCACTTTTCTTATATCAACTGCAACTAAATTAAATGCTATATGTACAAAGTCTGAAATCTGGACTCCAGTGTGCAACTGACTGAGATTGCTGTATCTCCAGCACATGAGACTGTGTATCAGAAATTCTAAAGATATGTTCATTTTAAAATTATTTTGCGATATTGCTGTTGAACTGGATTTTATGGTTTAAGTGAGGAGAATATGATATTTAATAAATAAAGGTAACACACAAAATGTTAATAAAAATGCCTGTTTGAGGATAGTGCAAATTCTGAAAGCTTTTAGATTTTTTTATGAATTTTTGCCTTGAGACCTAATGGTGGCATTTTAGTTTCTATAACTAAAATAGGAACATTGTTATGTTGTGAGCAAAACGTTCTTACTTTACACACGACTGCCACTGGCTCTGACATAGCAATGAATACTGTACATCTAAATTTTTAAACACCATTCCAGAATTTTAAAAATGTATTTAATAGAATTCTAATCATATATTTACAAATTATATACTATAAACACAATAACAAAAATTGAACTTATCTGCACAACGAGAATAAGCGTAGCATTATTTTCTGAACTTGAGACAAATTTAGGAGTTTAACTACCACAAACTCAAACATAAGAATTTTATCATTTCAAACACAGCTAATTGTAAAAATATATTTTACTAATATATGCAGCGTGCAGTGGATTCCATTTCATTTCCACCCAAGCTCAATTTTTTTTATTACGCAGTCGTCTCTTCGAGATGAAATTGGCTCCATTCCAAAAACATGTCTGGCATGTTATTTGCTGTTACCATTCAAGCGCTGCAGAATTTTTCTACCTGCAGTTGTTGCCAGACTTATTCTCGCTGTATGTGAGAGGTACAACAAACATGTTAATGTGCTGAAGGGAAGTTATTGTAACACCTATAAACAATATTTTATAGCTATTTTAGAAGGGGTCACACCTAGGAAAGTCTAGGACTGCAAGGATTAATTGTTTAATTAAGATTTATTGGAGAAATCAAGCAACGAGAATCAACATTATATTTGTAAATTTTGTAGGACTAGTTTTGGTGGTTTAATTACGGAACTGTCTACCTCAGCTGCCGAAGTGCAAATGAACAAGATAAGATGGAGTGATAAGATAAGAATGGCAGGACAGAAGTTAAGCTACTGTCACCATCTTTTGATAAAACAAGAAAACAAAAGCATTTCCTTAAAGGCTGAAGGTAAAGATGGATTGGAATTAAGGTCGCTAACCAGAACAGAAAGAATTTTTTGAATGTGAAACACCTCTAGAAAATCTAATTCACCAATGGAAGATGTTTTTTAAATACTTTTTGTTGCAGAAAAATGGAAAGCATGATTTTCAGACCAACAGTCCTGGGCAACAGAGGACTTCCTTGTTTCCTTTTTCCTAACATATGCCTTGTGTTATTTAATGCAAAATTTCAAGTCTCTCTTAGTTTGACCAGTGTAAATTAAACTACATTGGCAAGGAATCTTATAAATACTCCAAGAATTCATATCCGGAATGGGGTCCTTAGGTATGGAACTGTGAACTTTATTGATAGGAGAATAAACCCAAAAGTGAAATTTCTGTAAAATATGTGCAGTCTTATAGCTAATTGATTGAAAGAAAGGAATTACAACAAAATTCTTATAATCTCCTAAAACAAGAGTGTGCCAAGTCATAAAGTATATAATTACATTTTAAAAATGTATCAGTTTTATATTCAATAAATCTTGCTATAAGTCAAGATTTATTGACTATAAAACTGACATATTTCATAGTTATAATTATATATATAGAAAATGTCAGTTCAAAGGAAAATTGCAACAGCAAGTTAAAGTAGGGACTTTTGTAAAGAGGAAGTAAAGAACTTGAAAACTGTATTAAAAAATTTGTAAAAAAAATTCTTTATCTACTAACAAAATTATTTAAAAATAAATTTTACACTTTTAACAAGATAATAATAATAAACTAGCAAATAGAAACATTGTTTACAAAATCCCCAGCAATAAGGATTTCCTTTAATTGAGATCGATTAAAATAGAATTGCTGTGTTCTTTTGCTTCTTTTCTTTATCATTTATTCCATTTTTAATGCCAGAAAACTCTTTACAAGTACTGTTTTTAAGAATCTATCTTTACATGCTACCAGTTTAAGATTGCATGCTTGTTGTGTGGAATTCAGTCAAAACAATTCAAAATGTGTCAAGTTGAAATGCAACATGTGAAAAGTTGTCGACAAATTCTAGACATCTAGTTCATAATTCCAAAATTGGTTAATTCCGTAAATTCAAAATTTATATTAGAAAACAATAGCAAATGTCCCCAAAAGATTTATCTAAATTTAAAAAAAAAATTGCAGAGATTCATAACCTGTGTTTACTATAAAAAGAGAGCACTGATGTAGGTTTAAAAAAAATCCCAAATAATTTCAGCAATAAAATGAACTTGCTTCTTCAGTCAAAATATATTATAAATACACTGTGTATTTGTAAAAATTATTTCCATAAACATAGAGAAAAATGCCATTAAAAATTTTCTGGCAACTGATATTTTGTTT